TTGTATCATTTAATGTTGTTTATACATGTAGGACAACAGAACTCCATTGTATAATGCTGTTAAGGGTGGTAATATTGAAGCTGTTGATATTCTGTTAATTAATGGAGCTAGAACTGATGTTGTATCTGAAGGAAGTTTTAGTGTTGGCATTATTGTGAGTGATCAAAATTAAAATGTGACTTGCATTGTGTGTGCTTGGTAGTGTTTTTTCCACACAAAACAATTTTTTATTCTTGAGTCATTCAGTAACCCATGCACCCATAATTGAAATATTGTACCCTTCATTTTTATTTCCTAGTAACTTAGTTTATTTTAATATTTATATAGTATCATGGTACTCCATTACACTGTGCTAGTCAAACTGGTAATGCTGATATTATCAAATTATTAATAATTAAAGGAAGTGCTGATGTAAATGCTGTAGATAAGGTAAAATTATGAAAATATCATTTAATTCTAATTGTATTATGTATTTATAGGACAACAGTACTCCATTGTTTATTGCTGTTAAGAGTGGTAGTATTGAAGCTGTTGATATTCTATTAACTAATGGAGCTAGAACTGATGTTGTGTCTAAAGTAAGTTTTAGTGCTGGCATTATTGTGAGTGATCAAAATTAAAAGTGACTTGCATTGTGTGTGCTTGGTAGTGTTTTTTGCACACAAAACAGTTTTTCATTCTTGAGTCACTAAGAGGTAACAGCCTTTGACCATTTATTCAATAACCCACACACCCATCAATGAAATATTTTACCCCTTGATTTTGTGTCCTTTATTGTTTTATAGTATTGTGGTACCCCATTACACTGTGCTATTGAAACTGGTAATGCTGATATCATCAAATTATTATTAACTAAAGGAAGTGCTGACGTAAATGCTGTGGACAAGGTAAAGTTGTTTAATGATCAATTAATTGTATCATTTAATGTTGTTTATACATGTAGGACAACAGAACTCCATTGTATAATGCTGTTAAGAGTGGTAATATTGAAGCTGTTGATATTCTGTTAACTAATGGAGCTAGAACTGATGTTGTGTCTGAAGGAAGTTTTAGTGCTGGCATTATTGTGAGTGATCAAAATTAAAATGTGACTTGCATTGTGTGTGCTTGGTAGTGTTTTTTCCACACAAAACAATTTTTTATTCTTGAGTCATTCAGTAACCCATGCACCCATAATTGAAATATTGTACCCTTCATTTTTATTTCCTAGTAACTTAGTTTATTTTAATATTTATATAGTATCATGGTACTCCATTACACTGTGCTAGTCAAACTGGTAATGCTGATATTATCAAATTATTAATAACTAAAGGAAGTGCTGATGTAAATGCTGTAGATAAGGTAAAATTATGAAAATATCATTTAATTCTAATTGTATTATGTATTTATAGGACAACAGTACTCCATTGTTTATTGCTGTTAAGAGTGGTAGCATTGAAGCTGTTGATATTCTATTAACTAATGGAGCTAGAACTGATGTTGTGTCTAAAGTAAGTTTTAGTGCTGGCATTATTGTGAGTGATCAAAATTAAAATGTGACTTGCATTGTGTGTGCTTGGTAGTGTTTTTTGCACACAAAACAATTTTTCATTCTTGAGTCATTCAGTAACCCATTCACCCATAAATGAAATATTGTACCCTTCATTTTTGTTTCCTAGTAACTTACTGTAGTTTATTTAAATATTGTAAATGTTCAAATAAAAACCCGAGCATTTATTTCTTTC